TAAATAATACTATATTTTTAAGAGACTATAAATCAGTCCTTAAGAAAGGATATTAATATATACAGTTTGGTATATAATTATTAAAATATTCTAACCAATTATAACTGGAGGAAGCATTGTGACTTGTCAATTCTGATTTCATTTCACTTGGTATCATATATACAGTAATGAAACARTCTTGTTTAATTCATATTAATCCACATTTTGAATAATTCTAGTCCATAACTTTACAATTAACTTGGTTTTCTTGCAACAAAGAAAACACTTTCATAGTTCATCTTTAACATCGATCGGCAATTTTCCACGTAACCAGAGGACAAGTTGATTTCTTCTTTCTTGAAAAAAAAAACAGCAAACAGACTATTAAAAGCTAGATGATTAAAAAACTTGTTTTCTTTTGTTCTTTTAAAAGAAACAATAACTAAATAGTCACGGTCATTGCACAGTCAAATAAAAACAACCCTAGTTAAATAGAATCRATGTACTCACCAAAATTTCAAAGGGAAAATGTTTTGTTATAATTCTTTTGATATCTTCATAGCTGAGGTCTAGTGATAATTCATTGGCWATGCCAGAGAAGTGATATAGTAATGGTCCTACAAATCACAAACAAATGACAATATATCACACACATTACAAAAGATTATGTTTTATTTAAGAAATAGAAAACAGCACTGGTGTGTCTGTCCTCTGATATAAACAATTAAGTTGGAGTTGAAAAACATGAGGAGTTAGCTTACAAACACAAGCATACTGAGTGTTTCTCTTGCTTTTYGWGTGCTGTTCAACTCCCAACGTGCTTATATCAGAGGACAGAGACAGCGGCCACATGAGGCTCTGGGAAAACAATGGATAATCTTAATTTTATTCTTTTATTTCCCCAGAGTCTCATCTTCAATTCTTTTTTGCATGGTCACTGAACCAAAATATCTAAAGTTGGCTAAAACAGCAATAAAAAGTGAGCAAAGCATTCTGGTCTTGATGGATGATGTCATAGTGCAAATGGCCTTTTGAAATTTACACTGCTTTACACACACTGTATATCGTTTACCTAAGTTTATCCAATAGCCACCAGGCTTTAGTATGTTCCATATATGTTCAATATAAGCTATGACATTATGTGCTGTGTCGATAAAGAAACATGTAGCAATGCAATCCCAGTAATCTGAAATAAAATTTCAAAATACATGTATGTTCACCAATCACATAGTAACCTAATGACCAATAGGCTAGAAGGAAGGAAAGTGCAAATTCACTACCAGTTCACAGAAAAGATTTCAACAAAGATATGATCATGATGTTTTCTTACTTTTTTCTACATAMACATCCASAAAATTCCCAGCAGCCATTGAGAATTCTACTCCTGGTTCRATATCCCGTGGATCCACATCAGGTATTCTGATTGGACGAACCTGGTCAGCTGATGCTTTGACATTACACCATTGGCCAATATATGGATGAATGACAGAATCATGAATTCCAGATGATCTACATTTRAAATATAAGGTTAATAAAGGGTTTAACTTGTGAAGAATTATTTTAAATTGTTTCACACTGTAAAGGAATAGAGTCTGAAGCTGCAGTATTGAAGTTCCAAATAGAGCGGATTTCGTATGAGTGGGACACCGTTCCTGCACTGTTACCGCACAGTCACCGCACCTGGCCTGCAGAATTTTGGTGAAACAATGGGGCACTAGAATTTGGTTACAGTACGATTACGGTTACAGTACAGTRCCGTCCGTTTCCCACTCATACGAAATCCGCTCTATCATTGACTATGCTTCATTTTAGAACCAGATGAACCTRATGTTTACTGACCTGTTTAGTATGTAGTGTGAGGCAAACAACATGTATAAACTCCATTCGTTTCCTTGACACTTATAACCTATGATAGAAAGTGTACAGTGTATGAATTGCAATGTAATTCTTAGTCTATTCTAATGCTATGGTACACAGCACCTTATTGTCTACGGGACAAGCACAAAAGTAAATCATAATATTATAAATGCTCTCTGGTGCATAATTCAGTACTTGTCTAGCTATTTTTAATGTTGGCTAAACTCACCTAATTTTGCAATTTCAAACATCAATCTYCCAAGTCCTGCCCCAGGAACAAGAATGGATACATCTTTAGCRCAACTGAAAAGAAAAAAAATATGCAACTGTTTATTCACATTTATAAAAAACACTATACTTGCTACTTGCTAGCCTACATTTTTGAAGGAGGAAAGAGTTCTTTGATTTGCTGTAAGATTGGTGTGTAGCATGCATCTCTTTCAGATTTTCCCTGTGAAAGGAAGCAATTAAAATGGATTAATTATAAAAAATACTTTTTATAGTGTTTTCCAAGTGTTATACAATACAAACATCTTAAATTCTGAAACTGAATTTTGATACGACGACTATAATCATTAAAAAGGCTTAGAATGCGTTGACTCTCTATCATGAACTGTGAGTCACCATCTCCAATCAACCTGGGACTTTTTTGTTTTTAATTCATAAAAAACTTCACTAATCTCTCCCACAAGTGACGCCAGGGCAGGACATTTAAATCTACAATGAGTCACTGGCAATAACATGTACAGGGTATCTCTATTGACTCACCTCTTCAGCCCAGTCCCTCACAAACTGCTTTAAGGTCGTACTGATTTTATCCATATCAAAGCTAGTGATTGGTGGAAGGGAATGAAGTGGACCTTCACTTTCACCCTGAAATCATTGAATTGAAGAACAAAATCAAGTTAAGGAATACTTTCTTTTAAAAGTCTTGTTCCTTCTTAACGATGACCTTACAAAACAGCCTGATACCTGGAAATGAGCTTTAAATGTGCTTTTAATGCAAATTCTGGGTCAGAAAGTAACCTATATACATGCCTCCCAAGACCCAAGTATTTTGACTAGTCTTCAGGGGTCTAGCAATARTACAGGATAATCCTAATACCAGAAAATGTAATTTCCAGGAATTTCCTGGCAAAGTCAACCAAACATTCAGCAATCAAACATTTAATAATCAACGATGGTTCCATTGATTGCCATTAATAACTGCCTTGGACATGATTATGCCAAACAGGCAATATCTGACACTGGGAATAGATGAGGTGACGGTTTTSDCCGCCATCTTGGACCGGTAGGCATAGTGTCACAAAATAACAAGGAATGACCGAGAAATCGATGCCAAATAATTCTCGCTGAATTCTCAGAAAGAATTATTTAATTGCAAACATTAGTTACTACAAAAAGGAGTTACCTGGCCAAACTTGAATTTCAAAAAAAAATGAGCAATACAGTTAGCTTGATTTGGAGCTCAAATCAATCACAAATTGAATGACTGTGATCTAATTAATTTGTGTCCAATTTGACACCAAGAAAATTTGACACAAAGTTTAATGTCAAATCAAGTTTAGGCATGCCTGCACTCTCTACTGAAGATTTAACTTTTACTGTAAACAGTTTTTTAAGAGACAACACAAGGTACGCAGTATTTGATTATTTTTACTTACACTACATTGTCCAGTATCTCTATTATCGAACATTCCTTCCGTACAACTAGCAATAYTTCGTAGGAATTCCTGGTTAACATYAATACATCTCCTAACTTCTTTGATGTGTTTAGTGTAGTCAGGGAGCATCTCACGATGATGACTTGGGATTTCACTGAAACTGGTTTCAATTTTATTAACGCGTCTTGAAGAAAACTCCCTGGAAAGACGATCAAAACAAAGAACTTTATTCAACAATGTGAGAGGACATTCTCAGTAAAACTTCGTCAAAACTTACTTATAAAACAAAAATGCCTCCACCACTTTTTTAAAATGCAATTTTTCTAGTTTTTCTTCGTCTGTTTCGTGGTTACTGCCAATGTTGTTCATCTCACCATCGGAATGGAAGGTTTCGTCCGCCATTTTGAATTACCGCTGAACTGAACTTGARCCTTATCTACCATGAGCCTTTGCGGTCCTAGCAAAAAGATTTCCCATGATGCTTCATTCAAAATGGCAGATCAAATGGAGCAAGTTTTGAAAATATTGCATCTTCTTCCCCAACTGAGTTTTAATGTCAGTTATTTGATAWGTCACTTTTGACTTTGARTCTAAAYKCGGGCATATTTACTTAGAACGAATGTCTTAACAATTTCTGTGGCAATATATAGTACCTTAATATTTTTTATTGTTTGGTWAAATTTTTATGATGAACTTTGAAAAAAATGTCCAGAGGTAGRAACAACATTTTTCACTTCCCAAAAGAGCGAGTTTCCATTGGGGATACTTTTCGATGCCGAAAGTGTCGAACCTACTTATTTTCGTTTGAAAATCTTACGATTTTCCACAAGAAAATTGAGCCCGTCGATCAGTGTTCGTCTTGGTATTTGTCTTGTGATGATGGAGATGGTGAAGAGAGTCTGTCATGGATTAAGGAGGCTATAGATGAGGTATTTTCATTTAGCTTGATTTTGAGATATTTTTTATTGATTTTATGTGCCTAGGTGCGTGAGAAGTACGCCATGTAAAAAGTTTATGATGAAATAGACAAATATAATTTTGTCTGGCAACACTCCTAAGTTGGAAAAACCTTGGCTACCAATCAAGTAAAATCCACTGCCAAAGAAARCATCTTTGAATCTGAAGCATTGATTAAAACCGTTGTTGTGCTCTGCCCAAGATGGAAACCAAATCCCAAGATCTGTTTGACCTTGATTTTTAGATTGACAACCAGCACGTCCCAAAAATGGTCGATTGTTAATTAAGGAATAAAAGACGAAATTCCGTGTTTGATACTCTGATCAAAACATGCGGGATGTAGGGAGAGCACGAGAGAAGCGTAGGAAACCACGACGCGTAGCGTTATTTCTTTTCTAAAATTAAAAGAATACGAAAATTGTAAAGAATTCTGACTTTTGATACAATATGAAACAATGAATTATCCTTACATTGCAGTTGTCTACAGCTTCTGTAGCTTCTAAAACATTTGATAGCTCTTCTTCTGGGATATCATCCCAGAGGACATCATAAATGGGCATTTCTTCGATCATTGTTCTTGAAAATGAATGATAACAACAACAAATGCAAACGGCGGGAAAAAAGAAATTTTTGACGCGTGAGCGTGTTTTTATACTGTAATCAAACATGGTTTACGACCAATCACAGCGCGCGTAGTATCCTAAATATTTTAGAATTACTCATTAAGCTTTTTCTTGTTTTTCAGTCTAACTGGACAGAGGGAAAACTATACTGCCCAAAATGCTCCTCACGTATTGGTGCATTCAACATTACTCAAGGTGTAAAATGTAGTTGCTTTGCTTTTGTAATCCCTGCAGTTTGGATTCAAAAGTGTAAGGTAGACCAAGTAACATTAGTGGATTCAAAACCAAATATTAGACTTCCACCAGAAAATCCCACAGAACCTGACAGYTACCATGGAAATAACAATCAGCATGGTATCCAAACCAGTCAAACCAGTTCACAAACTGGACAAACTAGTAATAGTGATACTGGAAAGAAAGCAAATGAAAGCCATACCATACAAACTCGGAAAACACGTTATACTTATGATGAACAAACAAGTCAAACAGGATTTTCAACTATTTCAAATGCTTCTGAATCTTTCAATTCTGAGTCAGAACATTATGGATCATGTACATGTTTGTATACAGGACAAACTAGTTCAAAACCAGCTAATCCAGAAGTAGATACCAAAGTACATGCAGCATCAATTCAGGATAGTTCACAAGCTTTGCAGTTAACTGGTTTTGAACAAGAACCAAACTTGTCAGGTTTKCAATCAGAGGATCCAGAGTCATTACAGATATGGTCTAATGTTCTAAGAAGTTATAAAGCTTTCGATGTCAATCAAACTCAAAGTATCCATTCATGTCAGTTCATATTAACAAACCAGAGTTTGAGAAGGAGACAGAATCCAAGTCAAGACTTTGAAGTATGCTCTGAAAGTAATTCAAACGTCTATGGAAGAAGCAAAAGAACACAACGACRTACAGAAAATGGTGATATTTGTGATGAGGATTATTCAGTGAGCCATGTAGAATCAGGYTCAGGCGAAATTCAAAATCAGAAAAAAGAGGTAATTTTAGCAAAAAAGTATTGAGTATGTATATACAGTAGTTAGCCGTCTCCTTTAGGCAACAGTTTATTTTGCCCTTTTGGGATCCCTCTGGTATTCTCTTGGATGAGAGGGTCATAGTCCCCCTTGGTCTTGAGGAAGACAGGAAGCCCAAGCATRGAAAAAAGAGGAGATGYCTGTVGAGGAGGCTAACATTAGTATGATATTTYAATTTCCACAAATATGAAAAATTTAGCATTTGACARCCAACTGCCATTTRGTGCTGTACATGTATTTTTACTGTAATCAGTGAAAACACTGAKTATCACCAAACTATATTTTTGAGACTTCTTCCTCAAAACAGTGTGATGAACTCTGAAATCCATTCAATTTTRAGAGGGAATCTTGTGCAGGGTGAAAATAGAGCGGATTTCATATGACTGTGCAAAAGCATGGATCACAACACGGACACGGCACGGCACGGTCAAGGAACCTCACCTTCTAGGATTTCAAATGAAAGTGAAGATTTTTCAATGCATCACGGCTACATGTACGGCATGGTACGGACACAGCACGAACGTACCATGTTTTTTTGCACAGTCATATGAAATCCATCCGCTCTAACACTCATACAGTAACATACTCAGTTTTACAAAACTTTTTTCATATTCTATACAGGAAGCAAGTGAAATTCCAGAACACTTGATCTGTCCAATCTGTCTGGACTTACTGTATGAACCACTTACCTCTCCTTGTGATCATGTATTCTGTGATTCATGCCTAAGAATCCTCAACTCCAAATGCCGCAAGAGTGTTCCACGGTGCCCACTTTGTAGGAAATCCTTGAATTATGTGTACCCTGCTGTTGGTAAGGGAATAATTTATAAAAAATAGTTCTAAGATTATGTCTTGGATGCTTGAAATACTGTTTATCATTGTCCTTTGGAGGGAGGGTAGGGGATATTTTTTGGGGGGTGGGGGTGGGGTTAAGGGAGGGGAGGGAAGAGATTGTTTAAAGGTATGGAAATCCTGTTATATTGCTGACAGTTCTTGATTGAAATAAACTACGTATGAAACAGGCCTAAGGATTTAGGAAGGGCTGCTACATGTATGTAGACTAGAATGAAATGGTGTCAAGTTTCTTTGATTAATATCACACATTCCTATATTTTTTAGATCTGAGAGAAGAAATTAGGAAAACATTTTCTGAACTATACAGGTATGTATTATTGGTACAGATACTCAGATTRTAGTACAGTGGACACTGATGAATAAGAAATCAGTGTTTTATTGTTATATTTAGTCAACCCGATAGGAAACCTGGTTTGCTTTCACCTCATCAATAATAGAGTGGTTAAAAATTGAAATGAAAATTTTGGACCCTAACCAATTTTGGACCCTACATTTGTGCAAAAGTTTAATAGAGAATATACTAGACATGTTTATTGATCATATGAAAAACGAACAGAAGACTGGGAATGAGCACCTTAAACAATCCATATTTTTAAATATCTGTTTACACTACATCTGAACTCAGTAAACTGGAGGATTTTCATTTTCTAATGTTGAATATTGAAACGTGCGAAAAATGTGAAAACGAGGCTGGTTAGGCCTCGATGCTGATTTTGCCTCAAACCTTTCCAATTTCAAACTCCTCTAATTTCTGGTCCTTAAATGTATGAGCAATGAAACTTTCAGATCTTACTCATTATAATATGTTCTTCCAACGAGTAGTAATGCTATATTGTACAACTCATTATAGTACATTCAATAAAATAATACTTTTTCATTGGTCGAGAGGAGTACAATTACATCGTTAATTTTACTCCTTATAAAATTTTGTTTCACTGGATGTACTATAAACAAAAAATCGCACAACCTCTCGTACAATTTGGAATTAATAGTCACTTGTAATGTTTTGAAAGTTCTCAAATTTCACTCGGCCTATCAAGCTCGTGCAATTACAAAGAACTTTCAAAGCATTACTCGTGACTATCAATTCCAAATTCTACTCAGGGTCGTGCGATTTCCTATACTAATGTATGCATTGCGGTAGCCACGCCCTTTTTCATATGGTCTATGGTTTGATGACAACAGCTTTTTTTCTCGTATACCCTTTAATAATATCTGAACAAATCCCTTTATAATTTCACACTTTGCTACTCTATTAATGAGTTTTTAAAATGTTTTAGAAAACGGCATAGGGCAGAGCGACGAGCACCTCACAGAAGATTGCCTCTTCCAAGTGGAAGACTGAAGTCTCGTAAAAAGAACACTGATAAACTGCAGGATGTTGCCATGCCGTACAGTGTTCTAGTTTTCTTAGTGTGTGTGCTGGCTGTTTGTGTCTTGTGTTTGGTGATTCTATTTGTATTCTGTCCCCCCTCTAGTAACCGTTGTGTAACTATTATAGGATATGAATAAATGTATGACATAATAAACCTTCTAAATYATAAAGATATATAGAATATTACATGGGCGTGCGGAGATATAGATTTTATCTTCGAGTGTTGAAAAGATATTAGAATAAAATAAAATTTGTATCTCCAAGCGACCACATGTTCTGTTTATCATGTAATCGTTTACACTTGCGATTTTCGAACATGCTTGAAAATTGGCTGCAACTTCGCCGCAATTTGCCGCAACAATCGCAGGGATGTTTAATATACTGTACGATTTGATTTGCGCGATAGCAAAGTGGCGATTTTCTAGAAATCTTTTTAAATCTGATCACTAAAGAGTTTGTAAATTTCATGCTATATGTTAAACTGTTTTCGTTTTTAAAATCACCTCTTTCGACACACTACACCAAGATTCTAACGCTAAAATCTCAGGCTTACAGTAAATGTAYACAATAAGCGAATTTTGGGAAAAATTAAATGAAAAAATAAAAGAGTCAGACAGATTATAGATAATTMGCCCCATGATTGCCGCGGATTCTATGTGTGTGAATTCCGGATTCCGTGYCATTTGGCGAGATCATAGGATCAAGCGTGCTCGAACAAGATCCGTTAAAAAATATTTCTAATAATAGGAAACTAATGAATTTGGTGTTACATTAGATAATAAATGAATTTGTAAGAGTAATCTATGAAACCTTTCTTAAATGTGGGATTCAACAAAATTTGGATACAACGCGTTAAAGAATTACGCATGCGTAAAGCGAAAAATTCCGGAATAAAACGAGCTAAGTGAAAAAAATATCGCGTATCTTTTATTTAAATTTACTTTACTCCTTATTTATCTTCATCAAAAATGTCCCTTTCATAGCGAATTTCTCTTTTCATTTCTCTTTTCAAAGTAGTGTGGGTCATCATGGCTTTGGTCATCAAATATCGGACGTATTAAAATTAAAATCTACTAAATCCTGCTTCTTTGCGTTACTTAGACGTAAAAACGGAAAGATTACCCTTTGATTTTATGTTTGTGTATATGTCACGTTTTGCGTTCTTGTACAGCGTGACCGTGTCAACAACCCTGCTTTCAAGAACTGTCTTCATTCAGAATGGCGGCGTTGTCGCGAGCAAAGTCCATTCAGCTTATYGTAACYGGTGTTTTGATGGTCCTTTTTAGCTGCGGWCTATTTGGATTGCTGTATATGATACACAGTGATAAATACGATTTTGGGAAGAGCGATATATTCAATAGAAAGACTTCATTTTGGGTAGCTATCCCGGTAAGCGTCGTGTTGTGTTTTTAAGTCGAGTTTCGGGACACGTGGACATAAACTGTAGCTGTTTTAACCATTTTAAAGAAAAACTTCAAAGTTTAGTTGAAATATCTTATAAAGTTATGCCTTTAAAGACACCAAAATATCATTTGATACTAAAAGTTTTAATTCTTTTGYAAACAATCGGTATGATGCAATATTTTTTTCCTTCGTTAGTTGCTTCATTCACTATCTTGTTGTCAAGTAGAAACGKTGGGTCTTTTTTTTCCATCGCCACCAAGTACCATCTCCTATTCTATAAAAATCGTTTCTTTTCGTAAAGAAGCGCTCGCTGTTCTTGTAAAAGCAACCACGATTATAATTGATGTTGAGTTTGGTATTGTTTACATAGTAGATCCGTAATTTGGGATTTTATTTCGAGTTCAATGAATGAAGTGCRTGTCACATGTTTTGAATCAACAACATGTTGTTGCGCGCGAAAAGTTGTCTCTCGATCTTCTTAGATATTACGATTTGAAAAGCAGAATTTGATTACTATTTATTTATTTTTTATCACTAACTAAAGCGAAGAACAAACAATYATTGAATAATGGAATTCAATAACTCGAATTGCTTTGCTGTGCATATTTTTTATAACCAAGTCTGACAATGCGTCCGTGGCGAAGTGCAAAAACTTCGCAGATTTTGGCTCACAAAAAATCTCGTGATCAAATCCCAAATTCATCATATCTCCACWCTGAAAGCAGGTTTGACATTATTCACATTGTTGGTCATTATTTCCAGTGGAATATCCGGTAAATCAAAGGTCAAAAAGCACTATCAACTTTCTCTCCT